TTAGATAAAATTAAAAAAAGATCTATAGAGATGATTACTAGATCACAAAACACTCCATGTTATTCGTTTTTTTTTTTAGTTTTTCATAATGAATTTTTCTATTACTTTTCTTGTTCTTTTTCAATGAATTTTCGTTATATTTTATAATAATTATAATAAAACAAATAATAAAAAAATCAAAATCATAGTTTAAAAGCATTGAAACTAAAAAATCGAAAAGTGTAAAGAAAATTCATAATTTATAGTAACATATAAATGGAAAGGAAAATATAAACTGATAATTCAAATGAAAACCAACCTGGTAAAAGGATCTCCTATTTTTAATGAAATTGATTCAACACCGATTGAAAATTCATCAGAATATAAACTTAAACTATGTTTTTGTCCATTGTGTTCATCAGGTATAACGGCATTAGGAAATACTGATAGTAGAGGAATAGTTTCATGGCAACACATTTGTAGAGTAATTCTTTTTTCTTTAACTGTAAAAGAAAGTCCTAAAAAATTCTTTTCTTTAAAAGGTGATATGCTTTGGTTCGTAGTTGATCATTGGTTCTTATTTGGAAAACTTTATCAATTTAGAACAAATCCTAATAAATGGAAAAAAGCTTTTCTTGATGCTTTAAGTCATTCTACTTATTTTGAAAGTGGAACTGGTTTTTTAAAAAAACCTGGTTATTGGAAATTAACAAATACAGCCACTCCTTGGGATGATAAAGTTGATTATTTTTCTGAGTCAATAAAAACAAAATTACAGTTACCTATTATACCTGATCATTCCTTGACTCAATCAACATTATCTTCTTCTTCAAAATCTAAAATAGAAAAATGTTGTATTGATGCTCGTCATTCTTTTTCTTGTGCGTTATCTTCTTTACAAAATCAACTGAAATTTTCTAACACTACTGAAAATTTTACACTTATGAATCAATTAAAAGAAATTCAATCTATTATGTTTAAAACTGATCATATCATTTCTTCTATTAAACAATTAAATGTTACTTCTCAAATTGTTTCTTCTTCTTCAAAAGACGCTTCTTCTACTTCTTTCTTTAATTCTTCTGATCAAGACGAAGAAGTAAATCCTTTTAATAGTTTTAATCCTCAATGGTGTTAATATTTGTTCATTCTAATTGTTTTTTAATCATTTTTTTTTATTTCATTTTACTAATCAAATATTACATTATCATTTTACCACATATCTTTTTTTTAACTCTCTTATGAATGTCTCCTAATATTTCATTACAACTTCATTTGGA